CCCAAACCCCCCAGCTGTGTGTGTCTGTTACATACAGTAATGGGGGAAAGACTTGGTGGTATTTTGCTGGGGAACTGTGAAGGGAGATTCTCCCTATGACTAGAGTGAGGGTCCCTGGGTGAGGGTGTATGACTCTTGTTTACAGGGGCCTACCTTTCCCAGGGCCTCCCCCGCCAGACCCCAACACACACACACACACACACACACACACACACACACACACACACACACACACACACACACAACACGCCCCTGCCTTGTGATGGAAGTTCTCTAGCTGGATGCATCCAAGCATGGCTGATAAAAGATTCATGCATCCTTAGGAGGCAGCCTTCCCAAGCCAGGCAGATTCTGCCTGGTGGACTTGGGAGATCAGGTACTTCTCGGGGAGCTATAAAGCCAACTTTTCCTCCCCGTGAGCCTCTGGCCACTTGCTGGTACAGGGATTTTGGAGAATAAGATGAGAACCCCTCTTTCCCAAGAGCAGAGTGGCCCTCAGTGTAACCTCCTCTTTAGACAAGAGTCCACCCTGGAGTGGGGTGAACTCCAGAAAATAGACAGATCTGTTTCTTTTCCTTACTGTCCCTCTTTCTTGATGGGAAGGGATAGGGGTGGAATTGGTTTGAGGACAGCTGATGGGGAAGTGGTCAGGTATGAACAAAGTCTGAACAGGGCTGATCTTCCCTAAGGAAGAGTTGGGGGAAGTCAGGGTGGGGGAAGGGGGGGAGGGAAGTGTCCTTCCATCTTCTGGCCAGCTTCTTCCAGAGGACTCAGGCAGGTGTCCTTTCCAAATCAAGGCCCCAGTGAGGGGGCAAGGGGTGGGCTCTGAGCAGAGGATCCAGGGCTGTAAGCCAGAGACTCAAGGATTTTTAGTGATTGCCGGGTCCAACCTTGTCATTTAACAAAGGAGGCAAGCGAGGCCAGAAAGAGAGGAAAGTTGGGTGCACGAGACCTTGACCAAATGGGTTTTTGGTTGTGTCTTTTTGAGGTCTGCCCTGGTTCCTTGGTATTTGAATATTGGGGAGGGGAATAGGTATCCATGAATTGTGTATATGCCTCTGTCCAGTTTTTGTATGAGTTGGGGGAGAGGAAAAAGCACCAAGTACTCATCTTCCTTCTCTCACACACTGGAGAGGCCCCATGGTTTAGTGGGGAAAAGATTGGACTTGTGGTCAAGGGATACCTGGGTTTAAATCCTACCTCTTACACTTGCTAATGCCAGTCTTTGAATCTCTCTGTGGCTCAGTTTAATCTTATATAAAATGAAGTAACAATGCCTCCAGTTCTATCTGATAGGGTCGTGTGACTCCTATGCAAAAAGCTTTGCATATCTTAATGAGGCTATGTAAATATTAGCTGTGTCTGGGAGGTAGATAGAGATTGGCCTCGATTCTAGAAAGACCTGAGTTCAAGTGTGCCTCTGGTATCTGTGGGATGGGCAAGCAACTTAACCTCTCGGTGCTCTAGGAAACTCAGTTGCAGAGAACTGCAGCCCTGCATTAGTGGAGGGAGCTTCCTCACCTGGGAGTTCCCATATTAGCCAAATCACTGGGCCAGCTCTTAACCTTGAGATTATTATTTTTATCATTATTATTCCCTCCAAACTTGACCTGAGGATTGATGAAAGGGTTCCAAGTACATAGTGAGAGGATGAAAGAGATAAGGGAGATTCTCATTAGATCTGTTAATTGACCAGAGCTAAGGTGAATGGGAATAAGGGGCCTAGGGCATCTGTAGTTGGGCTAACTCTTTGGGTGAGGAAAAGAGTATTACTGTTGAGAAGTTACCTTTATCTTCCCTTCAGATTTAAGGGCTAAAGAAATACCCAGATAGGCATTCAACCACCCTCTCCCATTGTCCTGGTCCTTTTACTGATGGATTGCTGCTCCTCCCTTCCCTTGATCTCCTGGCAGGCTGAGGAGGGAGGCCCCTGTCTGCCAGGTGGAACCTAGGCCCCACCCCTCTCCCCCTTCTCTTTTGGCTGGAGGCCCCCACCCCAGGAGGGGAGAAGGCCAGGGGAGGGAGAAGAGATCTACTTTCTTCTTTGAAAGCTGCAGATAAAATCTGTCCACACCTATTCCCGTGCCACCAAATCTGTCCACAACTGCCCCTTTCCACCACTTGGAGTTTACAGGAAGACGAAGGCTTTGAGAGTCACAGGCTTTTTCCTTCAGGTGGTGGTGGTGGTAAAAGATTATAAACAGGAATGTAGATTGCAAGCTCCTTGAGGGCAGGGACACCCCATTTTTGCTGCCTTTGCATCCCCAGCACTTAGTACAGTGCCTGACATGTGGTAGCTAATTAATAAATGCTTGTTGACTGAATAGAGGAACTGGAGTTGCTAGCTAGCAGGGCCTGAGGTCTTTCTCTGCCATACCCCTTCTGTGTAGGTATCTCTTTCTGCGTGTGTCTCTGTGGAGAAAATGTCTCAGAGTGCCTTAGAGAAGAGAAGCAAATAATGACTTGAAGGACTCTAGAGTATTAGCGGTCATGCTGAAAAGTGCATGTCTGCTCATTCCTTCCTCCTTTTCACTACCTCCTGCTGGACACTGCCTCCCACCCCCTTTCCTCCAGCCTTCCTTTAGCTGTCTCCCCTAGCCCTCCCCTTAGCCCTCTCTCTGATTCCCCAGGATAATAGGAGAGCAGGCACTGAGGGCTGTGAGGGGATGGAGGGAGGTGGGGGTGGGGATGGCCTAGAGAGCCCTTCTATTCATGGGGTCCAAAATGCTATAAAATGGGGTTTTAAATGAGGAGATGCTTTCACCTTTCATTTCCTAACACTGATTAACCCAGGTGGAGTGAAGAGAAAGGAGTTGGGACTGGAGTCTAGGCCCCACCCTACCTCGCCTTCTCTGTTGGATGGAGGGGGGTCCCCCCATCAGGAAGCAGAATGTATGCTAGGGTGAGGAGTAGGGGGAAGGAAAACTCCTCAGCTGGGATGACTTCCACTCTGCTTCTTTCCAAGTCAGTGGAGCATATATTTGGGGGCAAAACCGACCTACTTTGCTCTTTAAGAACTGGGGGATACAAGGCCTGGAGCCAGGAAAAGCTCATTCCTGGAAAGGGAGACTTTCTCTTCTCTTCCCCAAGTAGGCATCTTTTATTTGTTTCTCTTCTCTCAGGCACTCTGAGACTGGAAATTAGTGGGGACTAGATCTTCTTAGGGTAGAATTGAGGCAGATCCTTAGATTCAAATTAATTAAATTAAAAAGAAATTGATACTGTGTGTCATGTGGCAGTGGGGCAGATGCAAAGAAGAAAAAGATTTCTTTTGATTTTCACAACCACTTTGTAAAGTAGGTTTTACAGCTGGGGAAATTGAGCCTCTGAGACATTCAGTGATTTGCCCAAGGTAACACAATTCTGCTTTGTGACTTGAACTCCTGTCCTCTGATTTCAAATCCGGTTCTCTTTTCAGTAAACCACAGTCTCTGACACCGTCCTGTCTTCAAAGACCTTGCCCTACAGTAGCTGTATGAGCTCTGTATGCAAATGAGAATGTGATTAATAGGAGGAGAGGGCTGAATGGTGGTATGAGAGATTTGGGGAGGGAGCAGGCACTCATGTAGCTTAGAGGGGGTCAGGGAGGGTAAGGACCTCAAAGGACGCTGGGAAAGCTTATTTTAGGCAAAGGGACAGGATGAGCTGTGGAACAGGGAGTCTCAGGATTACAGGATAGGCCTTAGAGCCGGAAGCAACCTTGGAGATTATCCAGTCTAACCTCGCCCTCCACCCTCCCTTATTTTACAAATATGAAAACTGAGGTCTCACGATTTACTTTTCTGAAGTAGCAAGTGCTAGAACTGGGATTTGAACCCGGTTTCTGTTCTGGAACGTAAAGCAGGAATGTGAAACAACACTGGAAAGGCAGGACGAAGCCAGAGTGTGGGAGACCTCAAATGCTAGGATAAAGAATTTGAGCTTTATTCAGTAGGTGTTAGGGAGCTCCCCTTTTGAACGGGGAAACATAGTTTTTTTAAAAAATAAACTTTAATTGATGTCTTTTGTTTTAACATCATCTACATTTCCCAATGTATCCTATCCTTTTCTTCCTCCCAGAGAGCCATCCCTTACAAGATAGCATTGAAAAGAGGGAAATAACACTTGAGCTGAGTAAAAGTAACCAACATATCAAAAAATTCTGACATTCTATACAATGCACCACACCCATGGTCCCTGACTTCTGCAAAGAGGCAGAGGAGGTGCTTTCTCCTATCTCTTCTTTTGGGTGAAACTTAGTCACTTCATTTTGTTGTTGTTTTTTTAAATTGAATTTTGTTTTCAAATGAAGATATGCCTTATCTCCCTCCTCCTGGGCTTCCCTCCCCTCTCCCACCGAGAAAGCAAGAAAAATAAGACCCTTGTTACAAACACATATAGTCACGCAAACCAAATTCCTGCATTATGTCCAAAAAAAGTCTCAGTATATACTCTGAGACCATCACTTCTCTGTCAGGAGGTGGGCACCATGTCTTGTCATGAGTCCTTTGGAATTGTGGTTGATCATTGTGTTGATCAGAATTGCCAAGCCTTTCAGAGTTGGTTGCCTGTACAATGTTGTTGTGTTATAAGCTGTTTTCCTGGTTCTGCTCATCTCACTTGGCATCAGTTCATACAAGTCTTCCCAGATTTCTTTGAAACCATCCTCTTCATTATTTCTTCCAGCACAACAGTATTGTATCATTTTAATATATTATAACTCCTTCAGGTATTCCTCATTTGTTGGATGGGCATACCTCCTCAGTTTCCAGTTCTTTGCCACCACAAAAAGAGCTGCTGTAAATATTTTTGTATATATGGCACCCTTCCCTCTTTCTTTGATCTCTTTGGAACATAGACCTCATAATAATAATGCTAGGTCAAAGGGTATGTACAGTTTAAGAGCTGTTTTGGCATAGTTCCAAATTGCTTTCCAGAGTGGCTGGACCAGTTCACAACTCTACCAACAGTACATTAATGTATCTGTGTTCCCACAGTCCCTCCAGCATTTGTCATTTTCCTTTTTTTGTCAATCTTGCCAGTCTAATGGGTGTGAGATACATTGGTCACTGTATTTTGATAGCATTCAGTTTTTATTGTTTTGTTATACCTCTCATGTACATTGCTGTAGTCATTAAGCATATTGTTTTCCTGGTTCTGCTGACTTTTTATCAGTTTATATAGTTCTTCCCCAGTTTCTCTATATTCGTAATTTCTTACAATACGGTAATATAATCCATTATTTGTGTGTCGTAACTTGTATAGTCATTGTCTAGTTGATGGGTATCTCATTTATTTTCTGTTCTTTGCTGCTAGAAAGTGTTGCCATAAAGATTATGGTGTACGTGGAAGCTTTGTTTTTTGTCACTAAGCTCCTTGGGAATCTCTGGATCAAAGGGCATGGACATTGTAGCATCTTTTACTTGAATAATTCCAAATTGCTTTCTAAAATGATTGGCTAATTCACAGTTTCACCAACAATATATTAGTGTGCCTTCCTTTCATAACCCCTCCAACATCGACCATTATCATTTTTTGTCATCTTCACCAATTTTCTGGGTGTGAGGTAAAGCCTCAGCCTATTTTGGATGCACATTTCTCTTATTAGTGATCTGGAGCATTTGTTCATGTTATTCTTAATAGTTTGCAATTCTTCTGAAAGAGTAAATCATTTTAAAGATACATTAGGAAGATTAGGTTGCAGTCTAATGAAAGCTGTATTGGAGGGGCTAAGAAGAACAGGGGGTGCAGAAACTAATTAGGCATCAGCCTAGGGGAGATGTGATGGGCTCCTGAACTGAGGTGGTGAAAGTGGGAGTGGAAAGATGGGGATGGATGAATCCTGACCCGAACTCAAAATTCAGCTCCATGGCCAAAAATGTCTAGTGTACTGTTGAGGAGTGTGGTCAGATACAGCAAGTGGATAGAGCTGGGCTTACTCTTTAGGGCTATCAAGCCAGTGCTAAGACTTAGGTATCATCTTGGAATAGCTTTTATGTGATTTCCTGTGCCATAACCTCTTGGGATAGGATTGGGACTAGGGATGGAATAAGGACACAGAAGAACCTTGTCCTCTGGGAGGAGTATCTGCCTCTAAGGTTTCCCTTTCATCACCCCATTTGTTTTGGTTGAGAAGATTAAGGGCAGTGATGGGGGTAAGGTAGGGGGAGAATGAAACTGTTCTGTGCCCCTCCCCTACAGTTAAGGGTACTTCCTATCTGAAAAACTAGTCAGGCCTAGAGTTTTGGCGTACAAGGGTTTTCTGGGTAAAGCAAGGAGTCTGAAGGACTTGGGAAGGGGTGGGGGACAATGGATGGACTCTTTCTTTCCTGCAATGGGTGTCGGATATTACAATGTGGGGAGGAGGGGTCATCATTTCCCTCGGTATGCAAATAGCATTCCCCCAAATATTTTCAGATCTCACAGTGTCAAAGTTTAGTGTCAAAGCAACTCACCAATATTCACATGCCAAGCCACAGTGCTACACTTCATGGCATATGTGTGTGAAAGCCACACACGTGCCACCCTCCTCCCCTAAGATACTTTCCTCTCTTTCCTCCCCCCCTCCAAGGGTGGGTGGGAATGGGTAGGGAGCTGGGGACTGGCCAGACGTACTTCTTTGGCTGTGGGCAAGGGGCGTGATGTCACGGGCATAGACTGGGTGCTGATGGTGGGTGGGTGGGTCAGTCACTGGGATGTGAGGCGCGCCAGTGCTGGGCGAGTTCAGCAAAAGTTCACTCGCATTGCATTAGGCAAATGAGTCTGGGACCCGGGCCTCCGATGTAGAAGGGCACCGGGACCACCCCCTTGTATCCCCTCAGGGCCACCCGCACCCAGCCTGCTGAGCCCACGGAGCTCTCCATCTAGGGGGCTCGGAGCCAGAGCCCAGGCTTGTGCCTGGAGAAGGACAGAACACCTCTACCCTCTCCTTTCCTGTTCTGTGCTCTCCTGCCCTGTCCTCTGTCCTGTCTTCTCCTCCTTCCTTCCTTCCCTCCCTCCCTTCCCCGTCTACCCTCCCTCCTCTTCCCTCTGTACTGTCTGTACTCCTCCTCCCCTTGTTCTTTTCCCTCTTCCCTCTCCTCCCCCACAAGAGTGAGCCGCTACCTCGCCCCAACCAGTCCTTTCCCTTCTCTTCTCTCCTCAGGATTCCCTGGTCTGGTCCATGGCTGTGGCTGCGGTGGCGGCGGCGGCTGCTGCTATTGCTGCTGCTAACTGCTACCTAACAGACAGCCAAGGGGTTAAAGGGGCGGAACCTGGACGGGGCGGGGCTGGGGCAAGCTGAGGGGGGAGGGGTGTCCAGGGGGAGGGAACTGGGAGTAGGGGGCGGGCTGGGGAAGGGCCCCCCCTCCCAGTGGTGGAGTGCTGCGGAGGCTCTTACAACCCCAGAGGGAGCCCGGGAGAACGGCTGCGAGAGGGAAAAGACTGGGGGGCCCTTGCAGAGGGAGGAGTCGGAGCCAGGGTCTCCACCCCGACCGTGACCTGGGAATCCTTGGTTCTGGGAGGAGGAGGAGGAGAAGGCTGATTCCTGAAAGGCAGACGGACGCCCCCACCCTGGGCAGGGGGGCAAGCCACTCGATCGAGAGCAGCGAGCGAGCAGGAGGAAGCGCCTAAAACGCCTGTGTTCCGGGCACCCCCCTCCCGCCCCCCCACCCCCGTCTCAGCCTGGGGAGTTGGGGAGCAGTTCGCCTCTGCTTTGACCTTCCCCCCAATAATCCACCCGACATCATGAGACTGGAGACTGGGGGCCCTCTTGAGGTGAAATTGCTGGCCTGAGTTTTGGGGGTCCTCCTTTGGTCATTCTGTGGAGGAACTGGGGGACGTCCCCCCGACGTCTAAGACTGGAGTAGCAGTCACTGCTGCTGTGGAATTTGAACTCAGGGACTTTGTGGCTAGAGAGCTGCCGGCTGCTCCCTGGCCCCACTCCTTGGATGGTGCCTTGGCCACTGGAGTGAGTGAGTGAGTAGGGGGGTTCTCCTCGGAGTACTTCCCCGCTGGGGACTTCCCTCCCCAATCTTCCTCCTCCTCTCTCTGCTCTCTGCGGAAAAGATGTATGAGAGCGTGGATGTAGGGGTGCTTACCCCCAGCCCGAACCCCTTTCTTGTGGTGGATTTTTATAATCAGAGCCGGGCCTGTTTGCTCCCTGAGAAGGGGATTCCCGCCTCCGGCCCTTACTCCACCCCACTCCGGACTCCGATTTGGAACAACTCCAGCCGCTGTAGGTACCAGCACCCCCATTTCCTATTGTAGGGTGTCCCTGGGGCCTTGAGATAGGAAGCCTGACCTTTCCTATGGACACCTCACTTTTCTGGTCTTCTCTTTCTTTCCCTTCAACTTGGACACTTCACTGGACAAATTCCGTCCCTGCTACCCCAGTACCTCCTCTTGCGAGGAGTATTGGCACCCTCCCCCCTTTTAGATCGTTTTCAATGATTTTGCCCCCAACAAAAGGGGTGATATCAACTTGGGGGAGGGCAAAGGGCTACTATCTGGGGGCTGTCATGCCCAGAGGAAAAGGATCTCCCCACCCCCAAACTGGCACCCCCTCCTCCTCCATGGTGACAGCTGCTGCTCCCAATTCATAGCTCACACTTCATTAATGTGGGTGTCAGGGAAGTATGTTGTGTGTGTATCGTTTGGAAAGATGAGGGTGTGCACCAGAAAGAACTTTATTTTAACCCTGCTATCTCTTCCCACATCTCGATGAAGCCTGGTACCCAGGGGCATGGTGGGTATAGACTGAGCCCCTTTTCTTTGACTGGTCTCTTTTGTGCTTTTAAGCATCATTATTCCCTCCCTTCCAATGGAAGGTGGGAGGACACCACCCCCCAGTAGGGGAGTAAGACACAGGATTGGGAGCAGAACTGGAACTTTTCATATAGCTCTGTCTTCAGCCATCTCTCTTCTCACCCAGGGTATCAGGAATGTTGAGCGGCTGGGGGTACAGGTCAGCATGTGAAAGCAAAGTGATTAGTGAAGATCTTGAAGGTTGGGGAGATGACGCTAATCCTTTTGTCAGTGGGGGGCGCCTCTACTCTTCTTCCCAAAGGGGAAAATCAGCTTGTTCCCCTGACACTCTTAGGTTATTACCTCCTACCTATAACACTTCCTCCTTGGTATTCATCCTTTCTCTTAGGATCATAGATGTCTAGACCTGAGACTTCAGAGCTGTCTCATCCAACTCCCTATTCTTTTTCTGTATTATGGGATCCTTTAGACCCTTTAGAACAGGAGTCTTTAATCCAGGGAGGTCCTTGGATAGGTGTCAGGGCACTGTGAACTTGGAACTTTTAATATTTTGATAACTATTTCAACATAATTGGTTTCCATTGTAGTATTTTATTTTGTGCATTTGAAAACAATCTGAGGAGGTTCATAGGCATCACCAAACTACCAAAGGGGTCCATGACACAAAAATAGCTTGTCTTCCACCACACTTGGTGGGGAGTGGTGTGGTACTGTGCAGGCTTTGTATTGTGTATACACCTGTGTGTGTATGTTGTGCCCAGCTGTGTGTCTCTGTGTACAGAGTACCTGGGTGTGAAGGACCTCTCCTGGGGGTTTTTGCTAGATGGGCTCAGATTTCTCCCTCAGGCTTCTTAGGTTTCTAGAGAGTACTGACTGCCTCTCACTTCCAATCCACCCTCCCTGCCTGCCTGCCCACCTCCCCTCCCCTCTTTCTTTCTTAGTCTGGAGAAGGGTTCCCTTCCTCAGGAGGAAGACATTCCTGGATGGGGAAGGGGAAGGACCGTGCAAATTGGAAAAGGAGTGAGAAAGTCCTTTCCACCCATATCAGACTTAGAGACCCACCAGGTGGGGATATGGGGTTTGGCTTGGCACTGGTCATCCTGATCTCCTGGCCCAGGCTGTGGTCACCCCCACCCTACCCATCTCTTCCCATTGTTCTGGCCTCTGACCTTTGATTCTTATCCAGGAATCCAGTGGAGGGGAGGGCTTTGCTTTGGGGAGGGGGAGATTGCTTATTGACTTTAGTTGGATAATGGGAGTGGGGTGGGGACTGGACCAGGCAGAGGAAGAAGTGAGAACTCAGGATGTTTTTTTGCCACCCTCACTCCCAGCTTCAGGGAAGGAGGTGACTCTGGAGTTATCTGGCTGTTTAAAGTTGTTATTCTTCCCTGATAGCTTTTTCCACCTCCTAGCCACCCCACCCCCCATCACCAAGGGATCCCCCCCAAAATTGTTGGGGACTGAGTGTCTGTGTTTTCCTTGTCGTCCATCTTCACTGAATGCCACTGGCCAAGGCTGTCTTGGGCCACCACAGTATCAGTTTCCTTCCATCTCCTTACCCTTTGAAGTATCCAGTAAGTAGAGAGGTAGATTGTCCCCAAATGGATGGGAAAGCTGAGCTGTGGGCTGTCCCAAGTTTGGCAATGTTATCCTCTATCCCTGGGATCCCAGATCTATGGTGTGTGCTAGTTATACAGAGGGCAAGGGGCCTAGACCTAGCTTTCCTAGACTCATCACACCCTTCCCCCTCCCCGCTCCCAGTTGGAAGAAAGGCTGTGGTCAGCTATGAGCAGAAAGTTGAGGTCAAAAGGAACAGGGATCTGGGGGCAGATGCCCTTCACAGGAAGGGCACAACATGTGCCCACAACAACAGACACAAAACTTAGAAGACTGGGCAGCTCCTGTTATTATAATCTGTTCTCCTACCCTCTTGATAACTGAGAGTTCTCCCTCTGTTGGGGGAGTGGGAGGAGTCATCCAGGCTGGGGGTGGGGTGGGGTCTGGTGAAGATTCTTATCTTGCCAAAGGGTAATGGGCTTGGTTAGGGCCCTGGGGACCCCTTCCTTATTCTACCCCTGTTGGGGGGCAGAGATGACATAAAGATAGAGATGGGTAGAGATGTTGGAGGGGCAGGATGTTTCTCCCCCCTTCTTTGCCTTAATACTCAGGACTGCTTTATGCCTCTGCCTGCTCCCAGACATCCAAGAATGTGGAGCACGTGGGAGCCCCAGGGAGTAGGGGGGGAGTGTTGAGGGGGGGAGATGCTTATCGGAGTTAGCCCAGCTAGGCCAGACCTCTTCCGTCCTCCTCCCCCTTCCTCCCCCTTTGCCCCCCTCCAACGCACATTTTCACACTCCACTCCCTTCTCTGTTTCTGGGCTAGGGAATTTGGGGAGGGGGCTGGTCCCTGGAGACCTTTCCCTTTCCCCTTGGGGGCTGCTGGGGAGTGGGGAATAGTAGTGGAGCCAGACTTGGAGTCAGGGAGGGAAAGGGAGGTCCTGGCCAAGGGCCCATCCGATTTCCTGCTGATATTCAGGAAACTGGCCCCTCTGTGGGGTGGTAGGGAGGTAGTGGAGACAGGGGCCAGTCCAGAGAGTTTCTTTCTTCCAAACCTGAATGGAAAGATGCCCCCTTTCTCCACAGCTTAACCTATCCTTGGCTGGGAATCAAGACACCTTAGTTCTCTGTTGAGTTCTGGACTTTGATCTAGGTTCTATTCTTCCTTTAATCTCTGCTTTCCCCTTTTCTGGGGGAAGAGGGGGAGCTTTGATGGGTAGTGAGAGAGAGTCAGATAGTAAGCTGTTTCTTCCCTGGGGCTGACAGCTCTATGATGTTTCCAGCAGGCAAGTGGTCTCCTGGGTAGACAGAGGTATATTTAAGGATAGAGTGGCCGACAGGACAGATGAATACAGGTTCTCCCTCCTCTTTCAGTGGCCAGAAAAGGAAGATAGAGGTGGAGAGAGGAAAGGACAGGGCCCTTTAGTCCCCTACACCACCCACCAATCTCCCCCTAGGTCCTCATTCTTCCTCTACTCAGAAGGCAATAAACCTGGGGAGAAGAGGAAGGGGGGCCAAGCCTTCAGATTCAGAGGTGGTGGCCGTGTTAGGAGCAGGGCTGGGCTTACCTGGGTGACTAGGCAGGAGATTCTGTCTCATGTGTGTGTGTGTGTGTGTGTGTGTGTGTGTGTGTGTGTGTGACTGGGGAGGGGGGAGAGAAAATGTGTGTGTGTGTATGCAAGTGGGGAAAAGGGTATATAAGGAGGTGTAGAAACTGCTACAGCTTGAGGAGAAGTGGGGTGAAGAAGTGGTTGGAAGCCAGTCTCTATCCCATTTAGTTGTCCCTTTCTCTTGCTTTCTTTCTATCTCTCTCCTCACCCCTCCTTTCCCCAAAGCAATTTTTTCTTTTCCACCAACACCCTCTGGACTTTGCCTTTGCTGCATATTTCTGCTTGGCCTTTGCTTTCCTCATTTCCCCTCCCCCCCATCGCTTTTCTGAAGTCTCTCTTCCTCTGTTCATACCCCGTTCCCCAAATCATCAGTTTCTCCCTCTCCATCCTATGCCCCCCTTTCTGTTTCCTCCACTTCTCTCTGCAGTTTCTTCATCTTCTTTCATCGGTCTCCTTTCCTCTGTTCCCCAAGGTCTCTGTCTCTCTCTCTCTCCTTTTCTCCCCATAGAGAATTTCAGTCCTCTGCAGAAAGTGGCTTTTGGGGGTGGGGTCTGGTCCCTTAGGGAAGGCGGGGCCAGGAGGCCAAAGGCCAGGTGGGGTAGGAGGGGAGGGGTCATCGCCTTTGTCTCCCAGCTTGTTGGAATGCTAGGTTCCTGGTCAGGCAGTGGGGACCCACACCCCCTTGTCCTTGATATCGCTTCCCCCCCCAGCCTTCTCCAGGCTGGATTGTCTATTGTTGCTGGTTTGCGTCTTGGAAAAAGTTAGCACAACAAAGGACTCCTTTGTCCAGATCCCCTCCCCCCAGCCTCACCCTGGCCCCTCACCCCCCTTGCAGTCCCCCCCACCAGCAGCTGTTCTCAGGCCTCCCTGTCTGTCTGATTTACTTGTCTAGGCCTAAGGGAGAGTGGAAGTGATGAGGGAAGCAGGGTGTAGGACAGTTTTGTGGGGTGAAGAACCCTAGGAGATCTAAAGTTTTATGTGCTTTCCTGCATTGAATTCCAGTGTGTAGGAGAAACTGAGGTCAGGATGGAGGGATTGAACTCTGCAACCATTAACATTCCAGGTTAGGGTGACTAGGGCAGGATGGTGTCTGGGGTCTTGATGCCTTTTTCTGAGATGATTGTAGGCCTTAGCCAATTGGGCTGGCACAGTGCCCTTCTCTCCATCCTCCTGGCAACCCCCAGAGAGAAAAAGGTCTATCACTGAAGAAGTTGAGATGAGGGAAGGGAAACGAGCTAGTATCTTCTATTTCCTAGTACCCAATCCCTTCCCTTCCCTTCCCTTCCCATCAAGCAGGAAGTTTTGGAGAGCCATGGAGTTTGTGTGTGTGTGTGTGTGTGTGTGTGTGGTGTGTGTGTGTGTGTGTGTGTGTGTGTGTGTGTGTAGAGAGGGAGAGAGAGACTTTTGACTTTTGGCAGTAACATGGTAATGTTAATGGGGTGCCTGCATCTTTGGACATTGTCATGTTGCGGGTTCACAGAGTTCTTGCTAGAGCTTGGTAGAGAGAGGAGTGGTTAGGTGTGATAAAGGTTCAGTTTTGAGGGGCTGGAATTCCCTTTATGTCATCATGCTGGCAAACCTCCTCTGTATTCTACTGTTGGACTTGGCTGGGGGTCAGAAAGAGGACTGACACAGAGGAAGGAGGCTGGACACTATGACCATTGGATGGTGGTGGTTTGAGAGCTGTGTGGGAATGGAAAACAGATGATCCCAAGGAGTGGGAGAGGTGTCTTTTGCTTTTTATCATTGCATTAGTTTGCCACTCCCCCACCCTCCCACCTGGACTCCAAGAGTTCCAATATGGATATTCTGACCTCAAATATACTTAAAGTTTGCCCCGCACTCCCTGGGAAGACGGTATAGATGTAGAGAATCTGGCCTGTGTTGTGTACCCAACTGCCAGGTTACTCACCTTTCCATTTGCTGGAAAGCCAATAGCAGAAGTGGTAGAGTGAATCCTAAACAGTAAGGAGGCCAGGACAGACTGACCATTGAGTAAAAACAAGCCCCCTTTGTCCCCCCCCACTTTATCTTGGGGGCAACACCCCTACACATGCCTTCAACACAAATCCACACATGGCTGACCGGCTGGTAGAGAACACCAACAGGTTCTCAATCTCTGACTCTTGGAAAGGGACAGTCCTAGGGTCAATGTTAGGGGACCTCTATCCTTCTCCCATTCAGTAGGCCAAGAGCTGAGCCACAGGGTGGAAGATCAGCAGTGTCTCTGCCCTCATGCTCTACCCATTGGTTTCCTGGCCAGAGGAGGGGGAGGGAATTATTTGTTGGGGGAGGGGCCTGACTACTTCAGAGTTGGGGGGGTTAGAGAACGGAAGCAGAGAAAGGAGGGGGAGTGGACTGACTTTGAACATCCTGTTGACCCCAGTTTCCTCTGGTCCAGACTCAGGACCTCCCCCTCTTCCCATCTTGCCTTAACTCCTTCCTAGCTGTATGGAAGGAGAGAAGAATTAATGAAAAAGAGTTTCAGCAGGTGATTGCTCTGACCCCAGTGAGTGATAGAGGCTACAAGAAGTGATACTTTATCCAGCTGTGATGACATTGTGTAAGGTAGTGTCTGGCTGGTCTGGGTCTGCCTAGTGCTTCCTAGAACTGTGTGGCCACCAGGGTATGATGGGGCCAGGGAGAGTTTGGAAGGTGGGGTTCATAAATTAGAGATTTTGAGCTGCAAGTTATGGCCCGTTGAGGGGAAGACTTGTCCCAGGTTACACAGGTAGTAATGAGAAGAATCAGAATTCAAATTCAGGTCCTTTTCTTGCTAATCCCATTCTTTTTCCAGTCTATCATATTGCCTCTGAGAATGATTGGGGGGGGGGTCTTAGGTTATCAGGAGGTATTGTAGAATGGTTGTTGGAGCCTAGGGTTTCTAACCTGTGCTTTCTCATTTTCTCTTGCCAAACCTTTCAGCCATTGAAACTCAGAGCAGCAGCTCGGAGGAGATTGTGCCCAGCCCCCCTTCGCCACCTCCTCTCCCCCGAATCTACAAGCCGTGTTTTGTCTGCCAGGACAAGTCCTCGGGGTACCACTATGGGGTCAGTGCCTGTGAAGGCTGTAAGGTGAGTTAGGTGTATTGAACAGACCATTGCTGAAAGGTGAGGGGAAGAGATAACTTTGAAATACAGAGGATATCTGTGGGCTTCTGCCTTCCTTCGTGGTCATAGTCTATACCCCTCAATAATTTGATTTGTGTGAAGGGAAGGGGGTTGGTTGCTTTTGGCTTTGTCCTATCTGTATTCCTTGAGAGATGATGAGGGGATGAGCAGGGGTGTTCTGATCTTTAAGAAGGAATAGATGTCTGGTTACAACTATTAAGTCAATCTGACTTCTTCCTTTCCTTCAAATACCTCCTCAGGCTGCCTCCTGCCCTACCCTGTGTAGAGGCCCCTAGGCCCGAAGTGTGGTCTTCTCTCTCCTCACTAAAGGCCGCATTCCCAAGGCTGATGCCTCTGGCTGGCAGGGTGAACACCCGCCACTGCTGCTGCTGGGGTTACCATGGTGAGCTGGCATCTGACCTGCTCTTGGCAAGAGACCCAGGAGGCCTCCCCCAGCAGCCCTGCCTGAACCCTATTGGAATAACCTGGCAGGAGGAGTGCCCAGTGAGAGGAGGTGTAGAGGTACCCCTTGGGAGTTGCCTACCCCACTCTCAGAAGGTGCCAAAGCGATTGGCTACCAGGATCCCTCTCCCCCAGTGCCAGCACATCTTGATTTCCTGTAGCCCCACAGTCACCCACTTAGACCCCATTCCTACCCCATTACTCTAGAATTGGCCCTTGGAATGGGGAGAGGACCACTCAGAAACACCCAGTATGGCACAGTCATCTTCACTCCCACCACACTGCAAGGCACACCATCTCTACTGTTTTGCCCTCCCCAGGGCCTCCAGCTCCCACAAGAGTCAGGCCTGAGAAGTTACACAGCTGAGTTCTCTAATCCTGGGCCTCTCTAAACCTGAAGCAAGTTGTTTGTGGACTTGGGGATAGAGATCAAGGGCAGAGCCCAAGGCCTCAGACTGCCTTCTCTGTGCTTGTGTGTTAGTGTGTGTGCATGCATGTGTGACATATGTTATATCTTATGTGGCTCTTACCTGGGAATGCAAGTGTGTTTGTGTGTGGTCACCTGCCTACCTTCATGTCATGTGTGTGGGTCCTGCCTGCAGGCCCATCTGCCCATGTATGTGTGCCTTTCTGCCTTCTTTCCAGTCTCTCTTAGTCCCTGTCTTTCTGCCCCGTCTGTCTGTCTCTGCCTGCCTGTGAATCTGTATTTTAGACCCCTATCTATTTGTCTTTGTGTCCTAGTCTGTCCATCTTTCTGCCTGCCTGTCCCTCTTCCTGCTTGCCTCTTGGTTTCTCCTGCCCATCTGCCCACCTCTTTGCCCCTCTGCTCACTTCTCTGTCCCTCTGCCTACCTCTCTGCCCCTCGCCTACCTCTCTGCCTGTCTGTTCACCTCTGCCTGTCTGTCCATCTCTCTGCCCCTCTGCCAACTCTCTGCCCCTCTGCCCACCTCTCTGTCCCTTTGCCCACCTCTCTGCCTGTCTGCTCACATCTCTGCCTGTCTGCCCACCTCTCTGCCCACCTCTCCGTCCCTCTGCCCACCTCTCTGTCCATCTCTCTGTCCCTCTGCCCACCTCTCTGTCCACCTCTGCCCATCTGTCCATCTCTCTGTCCGTCTGCCCACCTCTCTGTCCCTTTGCCCACCTCTCTGCTTGTCTGCTCACCTCTCTGCCTGTCTGCCCACCTCTCCGTCCCTCTGCCCACCTCTCTGTCCATCTCTCTGTCCCTCTGCCCACCTCTCTGTCCCTTTGCCCACCTCTCTGCCTGTCTGCTTACCTCTCTGTCTGTCTGCCCCATCTCTCTGTCCCCCTGCCCACCTCTCTGTCCACCTCTGCCCATCTGCCCACCTCTCTGTCCCTCTGCCCACCTCTCTACCTGTCTGCCCACCTCTCTGTCCCTCTGCCCGCCTCTCTACCTGTCTGTTTGTCTTTCTGCCTGCCTGCCTCTGTCTGTCTGGCCCTCTTCCTGTCTGCCTCTGTTGGTTTGCCTGCCAGCCCACTGGTTTGTCTCTGCCTGCTGGCCTTTGTGCCTGTATATCTACTTATTGTACGTCAGTCTGTGCCTGTGCCTGCTTGCCAGTGTGTTCTTAGCCACCAAGATTGTGGGCTCTGCCTCTCCCCCACCTCTGCCCCTCCACACCCCTTCCTGACTCATTCGTTACCTTGGGGCTGGTTCCACAGAGGAGAAGCAGCTCAGGATGCCAGAGGCTGGAGGGGCAGTGGTGGAAGCAGCAGCCTCAGCAGGCAGCCTTTGGGATTCTCCTCTGGGAGTTCCTTTTCTTGTTGCTGAATCACTTTCTCCTGACCCTGGGTCTCATGTGCTCAGGAAGGTGGTGAGGAGACCGAGTGGGGGAGAGATGCTGTCTTGTCTTCACCCAATGACCACAGATGGGGATCTGCCCTTCTTTCCCACCTCTGCTCTGTGGTTGCTAACCTCTGTATCCTACCCCCTCAACCCTGCTTCTTCTTCCAATTCTAGGGCTTCTTTCGTCGAAGCATCCAGAAAAACATGGTATATACATGTCATCGGGACAAGAACTGCGTCATCAACAAGGTGACGAGAAATCGCTGTCAGTACTGCCGGCTACAGAAATGCTTTGAAGTGGGCATGTCCAAGGAGTGTGAGTGCCACCCCTTGCTACCCTTACTTGCCACAGCTGGGCCAAAACAGGGAGGGTATGATGCTGTGTACAACCTGTGACCTGGGTTTTCCTTTCAGCCCTTGGGCAATGGAGGAACTGTGGGGCTAGAGGAGATGGGGCAAAGCTGAGGGAGAAGCCCAGCTTTTCATGAAGGAGTTGGCAGTAAAAGGAAGGAGTGTGCGTGCGTGCGTGCGGCGCGCGCGCGCGGTGTGTGTGTGTGTGTGTGTGTGTGTGTGTGTGTGTGTAAGCTGTTTTCTTGAACTAGCCTGCTTATATTTACTGCTTAGCACGTGATGAGATACTGGAGGGACACCTGGGTTCCCTATGACCTTGCCGGGGAGGGAGAGGGACTCAATTCCATTCAGCACAGCTCCCTTCAGAGGTAGGAATACCAAAGACTTGGAGCCCCAGAGACCCAAGAGCTCTTGGGGAATCCCTAGGGGAGAGGGCCAGTGGAAGAGAATTGAAAAGCCCAATTCTTTTCCGCCCCGCCCCCACTCCATGCCATCTCAAATCTGGGGTTCCCAGCCTGATTCTGAGGAACATGGAGTTTGAATTTGGACTGAGTAGAGGGCAGGCTAGAAGGAGGCAGGGCCTGGGGTGGGGGGAACCCTCTTGTGTTTGAATCATGGGTGTTGTTATGGCAACCAATGATTGATGATGTCAGAGATAAATGACGCTGACAGAAGCCTCCGTCTGCGTTGGCCGTTGTCATGGAGCTGGAACCTTCACACTTGGGGGAGGTGGGCAGCAGCAGCAGGACTCCCCTTCCCTGCCCCCAATCCATAGCCCAATATAGCACGGGGGCATGGAAAAAAGATGCATGTACACGTGTGTACAGAGCCTCAGACACATGCAGATAAGAGACACACAGATATATAGAGCCCCATCAATTCCCATCCCCTTGCCTAGTGGGAGGTACATGAGTTCTGGGGGAATAAGCAGGTTTAGTCTGCAGCCTTTGGGAAGCCCAGAGTTTCCCGGTCTCCAATGTGCCCCAGCCTTAGTGACAGATACTATGTAGTGTTGGCTTCTGTCTGGGACTGAGCATGCGCTGCCTTCCCTCCCCACCCCCTCTGTCCCACCCCTTCTATTCCCCCTTCCCCCCTCTCCCCTAGCCTGTGCTGGTGCTAGCTCACTGCAGGAGGTAGAGGATGAGATTTGCTACCCCTGTTATCTAAGCCCCCCCCCCAATATATACACACGCAGGAGTTTTCCCAGCCTCCCTTCGTGGTGGGGTGGGGAGGGAAGAAGTAGGGAGCTTCGAACCCCTAGAAGTGATCCACCTCTGAACTGATGCTACCTCACCTTCAAGCTTTCCTCAACTCCACCTCAGTGTGTACATGTGCTCAGAGAGAAAGGAGTAGGCTGGGGACAGACAGCCATCCCTTCCTCCCTCCCTGCCTTCCCAGAGCTCTGTGCCCTGGAGCTGAGCAGCTGCCATTTCAATAGAATTAAAGCTTCCGAATGATAAACGTCTTGTCACAGCTGCAATTTTCTCTTCCCAAATTATCCCCCCGCTTTCTCTTCCTCTCCCTCACCCTCGCCCTCTCTCTCTCCTGCACTTTATTGAATTTGCAGAGTCGACATGAGTGATCTCCAAATTATGCCAGCTCCTCTCTCTCTCTCTCTCTCTCTGTCTCTCTCTGTCTCTCTCTCTCTCTCTCTCTCTCTCTCTCTCTCTCTCTCTCTCTCTCTCTCTCTCTCTCTCTCTCTCCTCCTCTCCCTCCCTCTCCCTCTCCCTCTCCCTCTCCCTTCTCCCTACCCCCTCGACTGCCAGACCCCCATCCCCCTCACTCTCCAAGATCTCCTCAGTCGTCCCCCCGCCTTCCCCCACCTAGCAGCGGCTGAGTCCCTGCCCTGTGAGTGATTGTGTGTCGGGGATAATCGGCTGGTAACGACCCCATCGCTTCTTTAAAGGCGAGTGGTGTGTGCGGCTCAGCGCCCACGGTGATTTGTCAGCTCCCTGGCTAATGGGCCGAGAGATCCCCCCATTCCTACCCTCCTGCCCAATTCCCTTTCCTTTGCGGGGGGCCCTGAGAGAACTGTTCCTTTAGGCTTTTCTCCTGACACCTCCCAGTCCCACCTGGAGGTGCTCTACTCAGATGCGGGGATAGAGGGACCCTTTGCATCATTCAGTAAGAGGCCCAAGGCCCAGGATGTACAAGGGCCCTGGGGGAGGAAGATGAGGAAAAGCAAAACAAAAGGGAGTTTGGGGAAAGAGACTTAGGTGACATGAATGTGCACAGATGAGTGCACAGTCCAGAGCATGAGGATACAAAAGCCCACATATACCCATGCCCCTCGGCAATGCCTGGGGCCTCAGCCAAGCTATGGGTCCACAGACATGGTCAAAACATTGCTACATGCAGTATGTACATATGTGGACCTTGCTTCCTGATTCAAGTGAGGGAGGAAGCACCGAGGCCAGAGGACCAGTGTGTGTGTGTGTGTGTGTGTGTGTGTGTGTGTGTTTGCATTCACAAAGATGACTTTGCTAAGGAGATAACAACTCTGCTTGGCTTAGATGTGCTGGCCTGGGGAGGAAATCCCACCCCTTTAAGATATGAGGGGCCCCCTGGGGTGGGGGACCAGGCCTTATGAAAGGACCTCACCCATCACACTGCTTCTCACCCCCCTTCCCTATTCCCCCTCTCCTCTGCCCTTCCTCCTCCAGCTGTGAGGAATGATCGGAATAAGAAAAAGAAAGAGATGCCCAAAGCAGAGTGTTCAGAGAGCTACACGCTGACCCCCGAGGTGGAGGAGTTGATTGAGAAGGTTCGAAAAGCCCATCAGGAAACCTTTCCTGCCCTCTGCCAGCTTGGGAAATACACTACGGTATGGGAACCTAGGGGTAGGGGGGCAAGGAACATGGGGAGATGGTGGTAGTGAAACCTCGAAAGGGCTGGGCAGGAGGGGGGTTGGGGGAGATAGGGAGGTGAGTGGGATGTTGGGAGCAACTTCAATTCCTCGATGTTAAAAAGGGCTGATCTTCCTGATTCAGAGGCCTACCTTGCCTCTGGAGCTGTGTGGATTCTGGCTGGTGGCATAGAACAAAGACTGCTGGGCCTGGAGTCAGAAAAATCCCACATCTGGCTCTCACAAGTTGTGTGGACGTAGGCAACGAGGCAGTGAACCTCTCAGAGCCTCAGTTTCCTCATCTGTAACAGAGTTCTGGTGAAGATCAAATGTAATCATTGTCAGTTAAGTTTTACCTGCATCGGCAGAAGGGAGTTTCCTTACTGGGAGATCCCTATGTTGATGAAATGACAGGGCAGGGCTGGGAGGGAACCCAATAATACCTAACATTTATGCAGGGTATCCCAAAAATCTTAGTGAAGTTTTAACCTTTAACCAAAGGAGGGAAGGAAACATTTATTAAGCATCTGTTATGAGCTAGGCACTGTGCTATGCTTTTTACAAATATTATCCTCATAAACAAACATAATCCCCACAACAACTCAGGGAGGTAGATGCTGTTATCATCCCCATTTTACAGATAAGGAAACAGGCTAAAGGAGGTTAAGTAGCTTGTTCAGGGTCACAAAGCTAGTAAAGTGTCTAAGTCTGTATTTGAACTCAGATCTTCCTGATTCCAGGCTGAGTGTTCTATTGACTGCTCCACCTAGTTGCTTTAATAAAACTGAACTAAGACTTCACACACACACACACACACACACACACACACACACACACCCTCTATTATTTATTTTGAACATTTTAAAACTTTGGAGTTCCAGATTCTTTCTTCCCCTCCAGCCCTTCCTCCACCCAATGAGAAGGCAAGCAATATGATATCAATTATACATGTGAAGTCATGCAAAGCATAGCCATGTTGAAAAAAAAAAGCAAGAAAAATAGAGTGAAAAAAAGCATCCTTCAATCTGTACTCAGAGTTTATCAGTTCTTTCTGGAGGTATATAGCATTTTTCATCATGGGTCCTTTGGAATTATTATGGATGATAGTATTGATCAGAGAAGCTAAGTCTTTCACCGTTGATCATCAGTACAGTATTATGTTACTGTGTAAAATGTTTTCCCGGTTCTGCTCACTTCACTTTGCATCAGTTAAGGTTGGTCTTGCCATGTTTTTCTAAAACCACCCCCCTCGTCATTTCGCACAGCACAATGGTGTTCTGTCATGGTCATAGACCACAACTTGTTCAGCTAGTCCCCAGTTGATGGGCATCCCCTCAATTTCAATTCTTTGCCACCACAAAAAGAGCTGCTTTAAATATTTTTGTACGTGTAGATTCTTTTCCTTTTTCTTTGATCTCTTTGGGATACAGACCTACTAGTGGTATCACTAGGTTGAAGGGTATGCACAGTTTTATAGCCCTTTGGGCCTCGTTCCAAATTTGAACACATTTTTTTGGGATACCCTGAATAGCAGTTTATTCAGGCTTTGCAAAGTGCTTTGCATATGTTATCATCTTCTTTAATTTTTGGCAACTCTAAGAAGTTGGTACTATGAGTATTTCAAATTATTTTAAAAGATCTATTGATGACCACTCTGCCTGACTACAGTCATTTTGTGATATCAAGTCCCACACTGAGCCCTACCTTGTATTAAAGAAGAACAGTTGAACTAAACCACCTGACATACTGTCCACATCTAGCAGTATATGCAGCATTCTGTGTGTGTCCGTCCACCCCCCACCCCAGGAGAATGGACATATTTAGTGCCATGCTTATGGTCACACAGTGAGGATGGGTCAAAGGTGCGGTATAATCCTAGCTCTCTCCTGTTTCCAAGTCCAGTGTTTTTCCCAGGGCACAACACTTCCTTTGTATATCTACAGCCCTTTGCAAATCCTGAAGTGCTATGTGCATGTTGCTGTTAGTGCTATCATCTGCTCTGTGACCCTCAGTAAGCCACCTGCACCTCTCGAAGCTTCAGTCTGCCACGCTGGGGATGCTCTCCTCATCTCTGCCTCCTGGCTTCCCTCGCCTTCTTTATGTCCCGACAAAAATCCCATTTTCTACAGGACGTCTTTCCCAACCCCTCTTAATTCTAGTACTTTCTCTCTGTTCATTGTTTCCCATTTCCCCTTATATAGCTTGTTTGTATGTATTTATCTGCTTTGTATCCCCTATTAAATTGTCTGCTCCATGAGGGTGGGGACTGTCCTTTGCTTCTTTTTGTATCCCCAGTGCTTAGCATAGTGCCTGGCACATAGTAGGTGCTTAATAAATGTTTCCTGACTGACCGACCTCAAAGCTTCAGTCTCACCTGTAAGGATAATAACAGTAATAAATAACATTTATAGATTGATTTAAAACTTGCAAAGCACTTTATAATATGTTAACTCATTTGATCCTCACAACAACCCTGTCAGATGGGTTGTTATCTCCATTTTACAGATAAGGAAACTGAGGCTGAGAAAGGTTAAGTGATATTACTTTAAGATCATATGGATAATGTATCTAGAACAGGATTCAAACTCAGGTCTTCTTAACTCCAAGTCCAGCATTTTTTCCACTTCCATCAACTAGCTGCCTAGGGCTAATGAAGCATTACCTGCTTCAAGGATAGGGAGGAAAGTGCTTTGTTAGCATGGTAGAACAGGCATTATTGGCATAGCCTTAGCTGTCATCAGTACCATGGTGTTGGGCCAGGGTAGAGGTTGTCAGTCCTGAGAGGTGTTGCGAGGTCAAGGCCGAGAAGAGTCATCAGTAGGTGAGCCATGGGGGACAATTAGCTGGTACTTGTCACAAGCCTCCTTTCTTTCCTTCTCCTCCCTTAGAACAACAGCTCGGAACAGAGGGTCTCCTTAGATATTGACCTCTGGGACAAGTTCAGTGAACTCTCCACCAAATGTATCATCAAGACTGTGGAGTTTGCCAAGCAGCTTCCCGGCTTCACCACTCTTACCATTGCTGATCAGATCACCCTTCTCAAGGCTGCCTGCTTGGACATCCTGGTGAGGGGCCCTGGGCATTGCCTGCCCTAGAACAGCCAGTGTTCCCTTCTTGCCTATTGGCCTTCCATTTGCCACCTTTGCTATGATCCTGTTCTCCTCACTCCCCAACAAGGAGAGGGGTCTAGGAGGGGGTGTCTGTGAAGAGTCAGAGTACTCCCAGTACTAGTCAGTTTCCCATTTGTTCTTCTTTCCCACTGAAGGAAAATACTTTACTTGCAGAAGTTACCTTAGACTCTGGCAGAAACTTCCCTAGGGCAACAGTCCTTAGCTTGGAGAGATTGGTTGGGGGTGGTTTAGCATAGAAACAGAGGAATGACCAAGGTGACCTCCCTTGATGAAATCCTCAGGGGCTAAAAGGGGGCTTAGGTGTGTCAGGAAAATAATGAACCAGTGTGACCATTTCCCACCCTGAACCACCCCCAGATTCTTCGGATCTGCACGAGGTACACACCAGAACAGGACACAATGACCTTCTCAGATGGGTTGACCCTGAATCGGACGCAGATGCACAATGCCGGTTTTGGGCCCCTCACCGACTTGGTCTTTGCCTTCGCCAACCAGCTGCTGCCACTGGAGATGGATGATGCTGAGACTGGGCTCCTCAGTGCCATCTGTCTCATCTGTGGAGGTGGGTGGGTTTTAAGAACCCAAGGGGGACCATAGGGATATGGAGTGGGAGTAGAGCCGAGGGTGGAGTGGGCAGGTTTCATGGCCCACGCCTCTCCTAGGGTCTCCTATCAGGATGGTGTACATGAAACTGTAAAATAGGAGATACCATAACGGGGCCAAGGAAGGGGAAATACACTAGCATAATGCCTTTCTGGTGATGCCAGGATGATTCCTTATGTAGCTTTTAACACTATCTCTTGAGATTCCAGCAGAATGCTGCCATATGAGCCCTAGACATGGGGAAATTCCCGGAGGAAGGGGTGGATCTTTGGCGTGGTAACTTCTTCTTGGTCAGTCTAGTTCAGGGGTTCTTAACCTTTTTGTAGACATTCCTTGGCAATCTGGTGAATCCGATGGACCCCTTTTCAGAATAATGCTTTTAAATGCATAAAATACATATTATTCCTAAAGAAACCAATTATATCAAAATCAGAGTGTTAAAGAAATCAAGTTTGCCTGCCCAGGTTGAGAACTCCTGCTGTAAGACCAGCGCATTTAGGGGCAGCTGCATGGTATAGTGGATAGAGCACTGGCCTGGGAGTCAGGAGGACTTGAGTTCAAATCCAGACTTAGACATATAACACTTACTAGCTGTGTGACCCTGGGCAAGTCACTTAACCCCCACTGCCTAGCCAAAAAAATCCCAAAAAACCCCCAGTGTATTTAGCAACAATATTCTGAGAAGGGGTCCATGGGCTTCACTAGATTACCAAAGGGATCTAGGACACAAAAGAAGCTCACGGACTTCTAGTCTGGAAGATCCTAAGCTAAGAATGGTGGATTTCTTCTCGACTATCTTCCCTGCTGCCAAACTGTTGCTCTTCTCGCTTCATTGTCCACCTCTGAATTACGTCCAGGGTAGAGAATACAGGGCTAACCTTGGAGTCAAGACATAGGTCAAAGTCCTCTCTTCAGCTCTGACCATGGTCAGGTGTCAGTGCCCCATGGCAGCTGTCTGAGATAAGTCACAGAAGAGTTGCTGGTTTGCATGGTGGTGGATGTAGTCCTCCATCTGGGACTTCTTTCACACTGATAAAGTTACAGGTACAGAAAAAAAAATTGAAGATACCAGGTCAGGGATTTAGAGTAAGGGAGGGGAGGCTATAGTTGACAGAGCAGTAGATAAGGTGGCACATCCTCCTTTTACAACTGATACTATCGGTGGGTAAAATGACCCCCATCCTTACCTGCTCCCAGACTATGCTTAGAGACCTGGGCAGCAGTGCCCCTTAGTGGCCAAGCCTGGGACTGCATGACCAGATAGACTTCTTTCCTTTTTTGTTTGAGAAGGGAGGGGAGGGAAACAGGATGCTCACCTCACCACCTCTCCCTTCTTAGACCGGCAGGACTTGGAGCAGCCAGACAAAGTGGACACTCTGCAGGAGCCACTTTTGGAAGCCCTCAAGGTCTATGTGAGGAAACGGCGGCCCAGTCGGCCTCACATGTTCCCTAAAATGCTGATGAAGATCACGGACCTTCGAAGCATTAGCGCCAAGGGTAAGTGAGGGAGCAGGCCCTCCTCCTCCTATGAGGGTCCTACCCCAGAGCCCCTCACCTGGGCCCTTGCCACATGTGAGACCCCTGTAGTCTCGAGGCCCTGAATCTTGGCACCGAGAGGGGTGGGTGACTGTCTGCCCCTGACATCCTCTCCTTGCTGAGATCTGCACTGTAGGAAGGACTGAGCCCCACCTCCTGCTTTAGCAATGCCAGTTGCAAATAGACACCTCCCCCTCACTGAGTACCCTGGGGGTGGAGAGACTCCTTTTAAAAAATTTATTGTAACCTTAAAAATTTTATTGTAACCATCAACCAAAACAAACATTGAAACATACAAACAAGAGAAGGGGAGACTCCACCATCCCTGGGGAGGTGGGGATGACATCGGTGGATGACCTCCCTCCCTCTCCCCTCCTCTCCCAGGAGCTGAGCGAGTGATCACATTGAAGATGGAGATCCCAGGCTCGATGCCACCCCTCATCCAGGAGATGCTAGAGAATTCAGAGGGACTGGACACTCTGAGTGGACAGCAGGGGGGTGGGGGGAGGGAGGGGGATGGGAGCAGCCTGGCCCCACCACCGGGCAGCTGCAGCCCCAGCCTCTCCCCCAGCTCCAACAGAAGCAGCCCAGCCACCCATTCTCCCTGACTGAACCCCAGCTCTCCCCCCTGCGGAAACACGGACACAGCCCTCACCCCACAGCCTGGCTTTCTCTGCCTTCAAAAAGAAACCACCATGAAACACATCTCCCCTCTCCCTTCACCCTCCCCCCCAGGACTGAAGGAGGTCTGTAAACCTCGTGGGGGCCTGGGGTCTGGATGGGAGGATGGAAGAGGTGGGAAGGATGGAACCGAGTCTCCTCCCACTCCATCTCTGCGCTGGACTTAACTGCAGCCTGAACTGGTTATCATCCATTATCCTGGATGGACCTCCATGGCACGGTGGGGGTTGGGGCAAGGGACCGAGGGCTGAAGGGTGCCCTCTTTCCAAATCCCAGCCCTGGGCCCAAGCAGTGAGACCCTGCCAGGATGTGGTGGGAGAGGGTGGAGAGAATGCCATGCTCATAGAAGCGCCTCTTTACTCACCACCCCCTACTCTCCACTCCACCCCCCAGCCTCATGTTCATCACCAGCAAATTCCGGGGGCTTTCAGCCCCACCATTCTCAAAACTAGCAAGCCATCCACCCCCTCACCGAGCTGGGGGAAAGTCTGGGGGCAGAGGTGGGGGGGGTTAGAGTCCCCCATGCTGTGGAATCCCCTCAGGTTGGTGATGGGGGGCAGGGCTTCTCCCCTGTACATACTCCGCTGAATTCTGCCCTGCCCCCCTTCCCTTTCCTCCCAGATATTACCACCTCCCCCGCTGGTTTTGTTTTTATTTTAATTTTTTTTGTTTTTATTTTTTTTTTAAATAAGAAGTTTCATTTTAAGCACATTTGTACTGAAGGAATCTGTGCTGTGCATTGGGGGGGAGGGGGTGCTGCCCTGGGGGCAGCTGGGCTCAGAGCCTGGGGGAGGGGAGGGGAGATTAATGGGGAGAGAAGAATACCTAACCCCAAGGGAACTCCCTCCCTTCTTTTTTTCCTTTGCCCACCGCTTCCTCTCCCCCTCAAGCCCATTTCCCCTCCGTTTTCTCTCTCAAACTGTGAAATACTGCTCTAAAGCCAACCCCTCTCTCTACACCTCCAACACCCCCATCACTGGGGGAGAGGGGGCCAGGCCCCCACACCACTTCTCTCTACTCCTAACCACTGGGTGTGGGCTTTCCTAGAGAGCAGGGGAGAAAGGAGGCTCTTTGTAGGGGGTGGGGGGAGGGGAAGGGTCTTATTGTTTCTCCTCTCCCCCCTTAGCTCCTGTTGTATGGTGCTCCCCTCTTTCCTCCCCCACCAAGGGTTGGAGTGTATTGGTCTGAGAGACTAGGGGGAAAGGGAGAGGAGCTGGGCAAGATGCACACCCCATCCCACTCCCCTCCCCAGGCTTACAAAGTAAGTGTCTCAATCCCTTCTTCCACCATGGTGAGAGCTGATGCCTTCTTCTTTCCCCCCTCCCCCGGCCCCATATCAGGTCTGGCCTCTCCTTTCCTTGGGGACCCTGCCCTGTACCCACTGTGAATGGGATAGTGACAGGGGGGAAGGGGAGTGGGGGGCTTAGAGACACTGACCTCTGTTGTTTCTATCCCAGCCTCACCGCCACCAGCAATCCTGTTTTTCCCCACCATGGGCTGGGGCAGTGGCCACCTTACATTCCCCCCTACCCCCTTCCACACACTGCAGACAGACAAAGACACCTAAGTTCCTGAGTCAACATCTCTCTTACAACCTGGCCTCTTCTGCTCACCTCCTACTTGCATCCCCTCCTCCCTTTATTCCTGTCCTCCCCTGCAGGGCGGGCATCTGCTGGGGGGGGTCCTTTCCTCTCCCTCCCAGGGTTGGGAGAGCTGGCCTTGCCTGCCTCTCCACAGGGGTCTGGGGGATGGTTTGGGGGAGGGTGGGGACCCCTCCAGTGCTCCCCTCACTTCCGGGCAGGCTCCCTCCTCTCCCCCTAGGGAGCCCAACCTGGTGCAGCTGTTACTGTTGAACTTTCCACTGAGATCTACTGGATAAAGAATAAAATTATATTTATTCTATACATGCCTCAGAGCCTTGCTCCCTCCAGCCTGTATCCACAAGTGTCCTTTGAGGATTGGGCCCCACAATTTGGGCTCAGGCTGTGCAGAATGCTTGGTTTTCCATTAAAATTCTGGGTTCAGTGTGGGAGTTATTGATTCAATGTGGCCAGGTCCCTACGTGAAGTACTTTGCCTAGAATCTGGGGTAGGTGTATGTCCTCTCAACCTTCCCCACCTGCCCAGTTCCTTTGGTTGGGACCCTGAGTTAGGGACAAGGAAGAATTCAGAGAAAGAAGACAGGGTCAGCTAGGTGGTGCACTGGATAGAGCATGAGCCTTGGAGTCAGGAAGATCTGAGTTCAAGTTCAGCCTCAGACATTTACTAGCTTTGTGACCCTGGGCAGGTCACTTACCCACTATTACCTAAAAAAAAAAAGGCAGTGTCTATCCTCCCAAAGTTCCTTTGGGAAATACCATTTCATAGGTACCCAGTCCTAGTTCTGGTGGAGGGATAGGGTTGAAATGGAGCTCTCAGCAATATTAGGAAGCTCAGAGGTGGTAGTGGCTTTTCCCAGTTATAGCCATGTTGTGGTTAATGGAAAAGGAGGTTGAGGGAATGGGGGCACAGAGCTTGAGGTCCTGATTTTGTCTGAGCAGGGAGGGGGGAGGTGATGGTGTGTATATGTGAAATGAAGATCTTGTGTAAGTGAGAGGGAGAAAGGGTCAGTGTCTCTTCTAGGGCTGGGTTAAGGAAGGAGAGGAAGAAGCCCTTGGGGATTGCAGGAGGATTATATAACAAGAACCAGGAACCAAGAAAGTTCTAGAGAAGGATCCTGTCCGTCCTTCAGGTAGAACTAGCCCTATACCCTGCTGTAGGTCTTTCTCTACCTTAGGCCCTGCCCTTCTGGATTCTCAAGGCCCAGGTCTGACTTCCATTCTGTCCCATAGGATTGTTTTCCAGGAGTAGGGGGGCACCCAGAGGCCAGGTGGAAGGGAGTAGCAGTCTCCAGACAGAGACTTTATCTTCCAGGAACACTGCCTGAGATAGCAGTTCTGGATGAACGCTGGGGAATGTACTGGGGACGTGATCCTAGAATGTTAGAGGTGGAAGCCACCAGAGACCTACTCTCATTTTACAGAGGAAGAAACCAAGGCCAAAGAGGCCAAGTCACTTGTCCAAGGTCACGAGCAGCTAACTAACGGAGGAATTGTAACCCAGTCCACTTAGGGACTTGGGGGGAAGCCCTTAAGTCTGTACTTATTGTAGCAACCAGCTGTTCTAAATAGGGATGAGATGGAGGCAAAGGGGATTGGAACCTTAGCTTGGGAAAGAATGTATGTGTTGGGGTGGTGGGGAGGGCAAAGAAGTGCTCTGTTTGCTATGCTCCTGGTAAAAAATGGGAGGGAGCAGCAGTAAGTGGCCTGGTATCTCGGGCACTCCCAGACTGCCCTAGAGCAGGGGCCAGGCTGAGAAGGGCAGGCTCTCTGGTACCATTCAAGGCCTGCTTGCTGGGGCTGCTCCCATCTTAGCCGCCGGAGGGCAGCAGTGGTCCACCAGCTAGCATCTGTCTTGCCTTTGATATTTTATTCCCTTCCTCTCCTTGGGTGCTGGCCATCCTGAGCTAGCCACTGACTCCCCCCAGGCCCTCAAAGCACACTGTACCCTGCTTTTTCTCCCATCAGTTCCTATTGTCACCCTGCCTGCCACTCCTCCTCACTTAGGGCAAAGGGCTCAGTCTGTGCCTACTGTACTAGGCCAGAAGGTGAGAGAGCAGATGATTTCCTGTTGCTTGCCCTCCCCACCTGAGGTTAGTGTTGACCTAGGAGAGTCATCCTCCCCCCCCATCCCTCCCTCAGTTATTCTTCCTTCTTTCCTCTCCCCTCCCCTTCCTGTTTGGACCCTTATCGGCACAGGGCAGCTGGGGAGGGGAGCCCTTTCCTGCTCTGACTGGGTAACCTGATTTTGGTCATGGGTGGGTAGGAGGGCTTGGGATCTGGGTCATATATCATGAACACATGCAGGTGGGGACAGATGACAGATTTGGAGCTGGAAAGGACCTTAGAAATTATCTAGCTTAAACCCCTAATTTTGTAGACAAGAAAATTTGAGGGTTAGAGAGGCTAAGGGTCACACAGCTAGTAAGGATCTAAGGGGAGACTTGAACCCAGGTTTTCCTGACTCCCATGGCCATATTATGCCACACTCCTGATGCCTGACTTACCCAAGGTTCACCTAGGTAGAAAATTAGTAGAGCGGGGATTTGAACCTAGGTCCTCTGATTCCAGTGGGCAGCTAGGTGGTTCCATAGTGCACAGAGTGCCAGGTGTGGAGTCAGGAAAATTTATCTTCCTGAGTTCAAATCTGGCCTCAGACACTTACTAGTTGTGTGACCCTGGGAAAGCCACTTAACTCTGTTTTCCTCAGTTTCTTTATCTGTCAAACGAGCTAGAGAAGGAAATGGCAAACCACTCCAGTATCTGCCAACAAAACCCCAAATGGGGTCATGAAGAGTCAGGCATAGCTTAAACAACTAAACACACCTCTGATTCCAAATATAGCACTCTATTTGCTGTGACAATTCAGAAGGGAGAAGAAAACACACATGGAACAGAGACATACGAATACATTTGCACTGAGAAACAAGTGGGTAGACCGGGGTTGCAGAGAGGAAAAATCGTGCTGTGAGTTTCTCATCCCCAATAGGTTGAAGGGAAACTGGGTTATAACGAACATCTTGGGCAATCTTAACAGAGCACCATACAGCCTGGGGTGGGACGTGCCCTATCAGCCTTCCAGCTTTGCCTGCTTTGAGAAGAGGATGATTTTATGTAGAAGAGCCTTGGGTCTTTGAGGCTGAGCAAAAGCTGACAAGCATATCTTTCTGCTCTGCTTGAGGCCCTGAGAGTAACTTTAGTAACATAGGCACACAGTCACACCAGATACCAGACATAAGCCCACACAGTAGCCCTAAAGTGGCATAACATGAAATGCGGAGTCTAGTAATGCTGACTGCAAATCACAATCGTTGCTGTGGTTTACAAGATAACAAACAGCCTGTTCACCCAGTCTTTCCCCCTCATCCACACTTTCAGTAGTCCTTCAGCACACCCCCTAGTCCACAATGCAAGTAGGGTTCTTGTATTCTGCCTGGGGAATTACCTGAGGGGAACCTGGGGAGTGGGAATGCTTCTCCCCAAGCCTTCTCTGTCATTGACCTCAAAGGTACGGAGAGTTAGAACCATAGACTGGTGGAGCTAAGAAGGAACCTTAAATATCCCTCCCCATCATTTCATAGAGGAGTAGCCTCAGACCCAGGAGAGGAAGTCAGTGGCTCAAGGCCACACTGCAAAGATCTGAATTAAATGCAGATTTCCTGGCTTTGTATCCAGGATCCTCTTCCCCAAGCCACTGGCTTCCTGCTCTTGATCGTCCGGGGCAGAGGTTGGCCTGTTACCACATCTTCATCCCTCCTACTCCACAGATTCCCCCGTCTTCGAGCTAGGGGCAGGGTGCCTCTTTAGATGGATAGGTCCTCTCTGACTGTGGACACTGAGGACTTGCTCCTGCTGGTGCTGACCTCACTGCCACTCTGTTTCAACTTGTGGGTGTAGGCAGGTGGGGTGTCTGGAGCAGGACCCAGTGGAGGGGCCCTTCTTGGCGGGGAGAGTGGCAGAAGAATCTTCTGGGCCTCTTCCTGCTCCTGGTTGCAGTGGTTATCTTTCTCCCCGGTGCTCCCCTTGCCCGGCCACAGGGAATCTTTGTCTCGGCTTCGGTGCCCCTTCCAGAAGAGATGGAGCAGCTCGGCCACACTGAGGAGGGTGGAGAGAAGCCCCACTGCAAAGTAGAAGACCACAAACACTGTTTTTTCCGTGGGCCGGCTGACAAAGCAGTCCACAGTGTGGGGGCATGGGGTCTGGGTGCAGAGAAAGTGCGGTGCCACCTGGAAGCCGTACAGCAGCGTCTGCCCTGCCAGAAAGCCCAGCTCGGCCAGCAGACGCAGTGCCACGCTCAGCAGGTAGCAGTGGCGAGCCCGCGGCGCTGCCCGGTACTGGCTGTGGCTGCCATCCCCCTCCTCCTGCTCCCTCTCCCCATCCCCTTGGGGACCGGGGCCCTTGCTGGCCTGGTGCATTGAGTAGATGACAAACAGTACAGGAGGAGCAGAGAGCAGCAGGATGTGGAAGAGCCAGAAGCGGTAATGGGAGATGGGGAAGGCGCGGTCATAGCAGGCCTGGCGACACCCAGGCTGCAGTGTATTACACACGAACTCCTCCTGCTCATCCTCGAACACGGCCCCTCCCACTGTGGCCAGCACCAGGATTCGGAAAATCAGCATAACCACCAGCCACAGGCGGCCCACCAGGGGAGACTGCAGCTGCACTGAGTCCAGCAGGGAGCCCAGGAAGGCCCATTCCCCCATGGCAGTACCGGGCACCCTGAGGAACCAATGGGAGGGAGAGCCCGGTTAGAGTGGCTGGAGAGGGAGACATACCTCCTAAGGTGCCCCCTCCCAACTCCCAACTCCCACACTACAAACTTCCCAAGCTCTGCCCCCTCCTTGCAGCCCAGAAAGACCAGTCTGAGTTGGATCAGGTGTCTCTAGGCTGAGCTTAGACTTTGGCA